AATTACAACATCACTACAAAAAGGGATTTGCTTTCACAAGTTAGCAAAGTATTCGACCCACTTGGTCTACTAAATCCTTTGACTATCAAGTGGCGTTTATTGGTGCAACAAGCATGGAAAGCTAAGGTTGGTTGGGATGATCCACTACCAATCCAGTTACAAAAAGCTTGGATGGAAGTGGCTCAAGAACAAACTTTAGTCGAGAAGATAATCTTTCCGAGACACATAGTCGAGGAAAAAGAAGAAGTATCACTACATGTATTCGCAGACTCGTCAGCCAAAGCTTTTGGAGCTTGTGCTTATTTAGTGACTTCTAATCAATCATATCTTATCACCTCTAAGGCCAGAGTCGCTCCATTAAAAAAGAGGACTTTGCCTCAGATGGAACTAACAGCACTGCTAACTGGAACACGCTTAGCAGTGCATATCAAACAAGTCTTGTCTACCATGAACATCAAAGATGTCATTATATGGTCTGACAATGAAGCTGTCCTACAATGGGTACGAAACGACAACTGTCCAACTCCATATGTAAAAAATCGCGTCTCGGAAATTAAAGAAATTTCCGCAGGCTTTCAATTGTTGCATGTACCAACAAAGGATAATCCAGCTGATCTCTTATCAAGAGGTAAGACATTTAAACAGTTTGCAAAGGCAGATATTTGGTTTCATGGGCCTCGATGGTTAGTGAATGGTAGTTGGCCTGAACAAAAGCCACACGTCATTACGACACAAACCATAACTACCACCAGGCAGCAAGCTCAAATATCAGTCTTGGATTGTACTCGTTACTCCTCGCTCATCAAATTAATCAATGTAACACAGAACGTGTTTCATTATCTCAGGAAAAAAGGTATAAAATACACTTTTCCAGATGCACTTCTCTATTGGGTAAGACAAGCCCAGAGAGAAACTTATGGGAATAACTATGAAAATCTTCCTCATAAGTTAAAACACAATCTCGGTCTGTGGATAGACCAAGAAAATCACAACATTCTGCGTTGTGGAGGGAGACTTAAACACGCAGATATCAATCTAGATACCGTGCATCCATGGCTTTTACCAAAAAATCATTGGATCACAAGGTTGATTGTGTTGCATACACATCAACAAATCATCAAACATGGAGGAGTGTTAGACACACTCACACAAATCAGACAGCAGTACTGGATTCCTCAGGGAAGACAGTCAGTCAAATCAATCTTGAAGAATTGCATGATATGCCGAAGGTACGATGCAAGAACTTGCTCTTATCCAGGGCCACCACCCCTGCCAAAGGAACGAGTGGTCCATCTACAACCTTTCGAAACGACAGGAGTAGATTATACAGGAGCAATATATCTAACAGGGACTGCAGATAAGGAACCTATCAAGGCATACATCTGTCTGTTCACCTGTGCTACCACCAGGGCAGTACATCTAGAGGTAACACCCGATATGACTGCTCAATCATTTATTCAAGCTTTCCGCAGATTCGCAGCACGCCGATCATGCCCTAAGCTGATGATTTCAGATAACGGAGCAAACTTGGTAGCTGGAGAAGCATGTCTACGGGAGATCTGTTCCCATCCTGCAGTTACTTCCACACTGGAACAGCGTCATTGCAGATGGAAATTTATCCCTCCGAGAGCCCCATGGCACGGAGGATTTTATGAACGGTTAATAGGAACTGTAAAAAGATCCTTGAGAAAATCTCTACACCGTCAGAAAATCAATCTTCAAGAACTCCAGACAGTAATCACGGAAATAGAATCAAGGGTGAATAACCGGCCGTTGACTTACTTGTCTGAGGATCCTACTCAACATGAGCCGTTAAGTCCTGCCCACCTAATGTATGGAAGACTTCTGACTCCAGTACCATCTCTAGTGGATGATGAGATCAGAGATCCCTCATATGTGGGTCAAAGCGAGTTGGTTCAGGGGTATAAGCATCTGTCCAGCATAATCCAAAAATGGAATGATGTTTGGACAAAAGAATATCTTACATCTCTACGAGAACATCACTATGGGGCCAATGTCCCACATAATATAGCTAATCTCCAACCTGGCGATATTGTCTTGGTAGACAGTGATGGCCCTAGGGCTGACTGGCCATTAGGTAAAGTTGTCTCAGTCCATCCAGATAGTCAGGGGATTTTGAGAATAGTCAAAATCCTGTCTAAAGGAACAACTTCCCTGAAGACATTGGACAAACTCATCCACATGGAATCAGTGAGCCAGCTGCAGTTAGATCCTGAGAGACCTCAAGAGACTCTAACTCCACAAGACCCACAGACTCCTAACAGACACAATCGTCCACAACGGACAGCAGCACAAAAGTGCAAGCAAAATTTGCACTTGTATTATCAATCCAATGGAGAGTAAATAAATACATATGGTTACTATTGTCCTAAGTATTGGACTCTGTGCCAGTTCTCTCCCTCTGGAAGATGTGGGAAATTTTTACCCACCATATCTAATAATCATCTAAGAAATGTATAATTTCTATATCATATCTAAATCATATCAAAATCATATCTAAATCGTATAAAAATCATATTAGAATCATTAAAGATTCATTATAGCTTGATCCTGGATGACAATGGCACCATGAACACGTACGCAACAGGGGCCCTTTTGATGCCTACGTGACTATGTACATGATCTCTCAAGGATCCAGAAGCTTCTAGAAGGACTTCTTAATTAAAAAACTATTGGAACATTGATTCAACATCCGGTAGGATTAAAAATCAAATCCTTAATAAGATTCAGTGGTACTTACAAATACTACTTATAATCTTTAAATCTTATATCTAATTATATTATAATCACATCTTATCTTAATCATAAGTCTAGACTGTAAAAATAATCAATCAATATTCATAGAAGGCTACCGTGCTCAGAGAGCATGGCAGGGCGATGGGGGGAGTGAAGCGCCCACCAACAAAGCCCAGCGCACTCCGCGTTTGTTTACAAATGAGTGAACAAGTGACTGATCCTTAGCGAACATTACCAGCTCAAGGACACCTTATCTAACATTTTTATCGCCAGTGAATACTCTCTAGAACTGGGGGAGTACCTGGACAATATCTACAAGGAAAATCCGTGAACATTCACATAAAATAGAGTGTATAGTGGAGATCAGTGACACGGTTTCCTCCACCTTCATTCATAAACTTTTATCTCGAATCATTCTTCTGCAACTGCAGGATAATCACGTAGCAAAGCTACCAGATCATCATACAGCAACGCTGTAGCAAAATATCGTGCCTAAACTCAACAAGAGAGAGTTAATCAGTCTGGCAAACTTGTCAGACAGGCACCCCGACTGGCAGAGAAGTATATTGAAGGTTATTTGGTATATGATTGGCCAATTGTATGCTTGTGTAGCTTTAATATCCTATAAATCTGTCTGTTGGTTAAAAAGCGAGGCTAAGCCTCACATATCAGTAAGTTTATTAAAATTGTAGTGTAGCTGTGAATCTTATCCAAGCACTGAACCTCATGGGTGTCCATTGTGTCAGAAAATAATTCAGCCTCAATAAGTAAAAACCTCACAAGTGTCCATAGTTTTGGAAAAGATTCAGTCAAGCTAACTGTATCATATAAATTGAATATGTCTGCATATATATTTGAATATATAAATTAAGTTATCAATAGCTTGCTTAGTTAATTTTTAAGTTATCATATAAGTTCATTTAATTGAATATAGTTTCTAGTACTAAGTTAATAGTATTAAGACTACATTTAAGGTCATTTATTTATACTTTTACAATTTAATTTGTTGTTTATAGTATAAGAATCTATTGGCTGTTAAGTTATGGTACTAGGTTAGACTATGTATGTTTAAATCTCTGATTTAAACAGAGCCAGTGTTCAGTCAGATAACTGAATTTATCAAATCTTATCCTTGTATAAAATACAAGCTGATGTGAGATCCCTGTCTACAGGTGGATTGGAACTTCTATCAACATAGTCATTCACCCCACCTGTCCCTTACAGCCCACAATCTGTCATTAGGAAAAGAGGAATTAGGATTTACAACCCTAACTAGAGATTTTAGTTGAATTAATTTGCAGACAGTAAATTTTTAATTTAGTTCAGTACAAGTCCCTGGTAGTCTCCTCTTATATCAATCCCAGCAGGTTTTTCCCACACCCTGGTTTGTTTCTCGGAGAGGCTGCAGGATCCAGGTAAGGACAGTAGAACTTCTGGTTACAATTCAATTTTACCATGTCGTAGCTCAGTCGATTAAGGCAGCGTCTGGGATCCTCTCGGACGTAGGTTCGAACCCTCGTCACGGCCCTTGTGGATTGGTTCACGAAATCCATGTCTCTTTTGATCTGCTAAAACATGTAGTTTTTGCTCGCTGAGGTGTGTTGAGACAATATGTTTGCAAGTCTTGCAAGGCCTCAGTGTCGTCTTCGCCTCGCACTTTATCATAGACCTTTGTGTCATCGTCAAATTTTACGATAGAATTACTGTTCTACACAATATGTTTCGAGAAAGATTATCTTCCAATTCGCAAGCCTCTCCGCTTATCGTCATTGTTTTAACGATCGTTGTTTGTTTTAACAACGCTAATCGTTGTCTTTGTTTTAACAATCGTCTTTATTTTAACGATTGTTTTATTTCTAACAATATTTTACTTTTTATTCCACGTGCTTGCAGGTTCTGTGCCAGTGTTTCGTGGTGTACCTCATCAATAGTTTATATTAGACCATGTACACTACATATATTAGAATTCCTCTGTACATCAGTTGTTGTTTCCAGAAAAGTGACCAGCTTCCAAAACACAAATATTCCTTTCTCAACTAAAAATATTTTATTGCCAGTTTTCGAGCTAAACACAAATTACCAACATCTATTCTCATGCATAAATATTATGGATACAATGCTAGGAGTTCCTTCTCATTCCGAAGCCGGAAACTAACCCAACCTAACGTAACTTAACCCTAACCTTACCTTACCTTCTCATCCCCAGGGTGAAACCTAACCTAACCTAACCTTCTCATCCCCAGGGTGGAAACTATTGGAGGGTGAGTGAGGCGGAATCCGGTGTGGACGACGACGACCCAGCCTTCCCGCGTCCTGCTGGCAACTGGTGGTTCGGCTGCCAGACCCAGGTGAGGCGGAAGGAGTCACAGGGACAGAGGAAATATCTTCTTTGTGTGTCAGACCCCTGTGTGGCAGAGTTAGGGATAAAGGAATGTAGGAACTTAGACATTTTTAACCGCCCTTGGTGAGGTAAAGGTAAAGCCAGAAATGGAATGGTGTGGTAATAATCTCCATGATACCAGATACTGTATCACATAATACAGAGAATATTTACATATAAGAAAAGAATGGAACAGGCAGAATTGTTGATACAAGGGGCATCTGGTTTTACAATCAGCTTTTTTGATAAGAAAGCAAAATGCCTATAATGTTCAACAGGGTTGCTCTATCTACGGGCGAGACACGATGACGAGTTTACTGTCATTCTTCCTCACACCGTTTATTTCTAAGAAATAAACAACTGTGAGGTCAAACAAGTTGACCTCACTTGTTTCAGGAGGCTTGTTGATAGTGATCACGAATGATGTGGTAATAGAAGGGTCTGAACGAATCATCATGCACGTCTAATCTCCTAGTTATTGTTTATGTTTATTATAAAGAATTCATGCATTTGGCTGATGTGCAATATGAACTCAAAAGTTCCTGATGGCGCTATGTGACACAGGGGAGAAAGTTTATATGTGATGAGCAGAGAGGTTATTAGTGCGGTGTGAGTAATGTGTGAGAGTAACGAAAAGTGAGAAGTATTTGGCCTCCCATATTGACGATGTTGTAATATTGCAATTATAAATGAGTCATGTAAATTATGTGGGGACGCGTGTGTACTTTTAAATAATATATAACTGGATTGGATAAAATACAATCACATTTATTGCCTTACTCTTATATATGTTGTGATCATGTTGAAGCATCATTATGAGAGGGGAAGGTGACCACCAGAGCTCATCTGGTTGTCAGCCTCCTTCAGATCTGAGCTGAAGGAGGAGCGTATGAACACAATTGCCCGCAGGCCAGAGTGTAGGCGGACCATACTTAAAAAATCCTGGTTAGGTACCAGTTAAGGCTTCAAGAATCTACCAGTGAATTCAGTAGAGTTCCGGTTCGATAGCATTTTGTTCTATCGTCGTTGAATTAGTTAAGGCAGGTGACTGGTAATTACCAAAACACAGGTTCAAGTTACCTAATAGCCTCAGAATGATTTTCTCAATGATATCTCATACGCTAGGGTGCCACCTCTGGTGCAATTGTAGGGACCCATAGCCTCCGAGAAGGGAACTATGAGTGTGATTATGTATAATTCATAATTACATATGAGTGTTCACTTCACCTACCACCCCTTTTTTATTATGTTGTGCACTTTATTATGCAAGGTTACAGAGTTACATATCTGATTGGTTGCAAAGGAGGACATTAGGAGGAACTAAGGGGAAGTTTTCATTTCCTAGAGGCTGTAGATTTCTTTGAACTACTCCGATGCCAGGCAGGAACCAAGGATGCAGCGGGCATTCCCTCTCTGGATCGCCAAACGGAGGCGCTAGAAGAGAAAACTTGCCGCTCTGTGGTATCTTGAAGTTTCAATGAGCCTGGAACCAAGATCCTTAAGAAACCTCCTAGCACTCACTGCCCCATGGACCCTTGGCCCATGGGGAGAATGCCATAACAGTACATTCATTTAGTTGTAGCAATTGTGAGAAAAACTGACTAGTGGGATTTCATTATTTATTTTAAATACAATTATTACTTTATTTATTTAATTATTTATGATTTAATTATAATTAATTTATTTATTAATTGATTTATTTAGATAGTGGACTGTATGATATTTAAGTAGACTGTATGATATTAAAGTGGGCTTTATGATAAAGTTCCCCACAAGTATCTTTCTACGCAAGTTGGGGGGTTTAATTACATAATTAAATTATAAATTAATCGATTGGTAGAAAATAGTTAATATAAGTTAGTCTACAATGATTAGTAAACTAATATACAGTTTAGCTGTTATGTTGACTGCCGCCTGGTCGAGCAGACACAAAGATCACGCAAACTGATCCTCCTGGTGGTTCAGGCTATACCATCATCACGTGTTGTACCAGGTAGTGATCCTCCTGGTGGTTCAGGCTATACCATCATCACGTGTTGTACCAGGTAGTGATCCTCCTGCTGGTTCAGGCTATACCATCATCACGTGTTGTACCAGGTAGCGATCCTCCTGGTGGGTCAGACTACCATCATCACGTGTCACGTGTTGTACCAGGTAGCGATCCTCCTGGTGGGTCAGACTATAGGGTCATCACGTGTCACGTGTTGTAGTGACACGTGATGACGCTATAGGTAGTGCTGTTAACTTCTTCAGGTCGTCACACATTACCTGCCGGGTTAATGCACCATAAACAATGCAAAAACATCCTTATAACTGATATGACACTGATTATGGTTAAATAAATATTAGATGCTTACCCATTTTTGGGTGTTTAACTGCGTCATAATTGAAATTAACTAATACTATCAAGCCTGGTAATATAGGGAATTAGTTCATACCGGAAACAAGGTACTTCCCGAAATTAGTGAGGTCGCTGTGAAAGATTGACTACAAGATGAATCGGGATTTCTCGAGTATTGACAGCACTGTGTATCAGGTGTCCTCACTAGAAGTCTACTCAATTCACAATGGCGGCTCCTCCTTCCTCTCTCATCGGTGACCCAAGAAATCGGTTCAATTTGGCTTAACGAGACAATAGGTGGATCATTTGAGGAGGTTGAACTACTAGAATATATTAAAATAATGATACAAATTAATAAACTTCAATGTTTTAAAAGCGGAGCTAAAGGCCTTGTTATGGTTACATATGTCACTGTTGACAATCTTTTTCTTGTTTGTGCAGAACACAGCTGGCCTCCAGATGGTCCCACAGGTCACCAGTGTCTCTCACGACAACTGTGATAAGTTTGACGCAGGTATGTGTTGTAACTAGTGCAGGTGTGTGCTGTAACTAGTGCAGGTGTGTGCTGTAACTAGTGCAGGTGTGTGCTGTAACTAGTGCAGGTGTGTGCTGTAACTAGTGCAGGTGTGTGCTGTAACTAGTGTAGGTGTGTGCTGTAACTAGTGTAGGTGTGTGCTGTAACTAGTGCAGGTGTGTGCTGTAACTAGTGCAGGTGTGTGCTGTAACAAGTGCAGGTGTGTGCTGTAACTAGTGCAGGTGTGTGCTGTAACTAGTGCAGGTGTGTGCTGTAACTAGTGTAGGTGTGTGCTGTAACTAGTGTAGGTGTGTGCTGTAACTAATGTAGGTGTGTGATGTAAATAGTGTAGGTGTGTGCTGTAACTAGTGTAGGTGTGTGCTGTAACTAGTGTAGGTGTGTGCTGTAACTAATGTAGGTGTGTGCTGTAACTAGTGTAGGTGTGTGATGTAACTAGTGTAGGTGTGTGCTGGAACTAGTGTAGGTGTGTGCTGTAACTAGTGTAGGTGTGTGTGGTGTAACTAATGTAGGTGTGTGGTGTCACTAGTGTAGGTGTGTGCTGTAACTAGTGCAGGTGTGTGCTGTAACTAGTGCAGGTGTGGGCTGTAACTAGTGTAGGTGTGTGCTGTAACTAGTGCAGGTGTGTGCTGTAACTAGTGTAGGTGTGTGGTGTCACTAGTGCAGGTGTGTGCTGTAACTAGTGTAGGTGTGTGCTGTAACTAGTGCAGGTGTGTGCTGTAACTAGTGTAGGTGTGTGGTGTAACTAGTGTAGGTGTGTGCTGTAACTAGTGAAGGTGTGTGCTGTAACTAGTGTAGGTGTGTGGTGTAACTAGTGTAGGTGTGTGCTGTAACTAGTGAAGGTGTGTGCTGTAACTAGTGTAGGTGTGTGCTGTAACTAGTGTAGGTGTGTGCTGTAACTAGTGTAGGTGTGTGCTGTAACTAGTGTAGGTGTGTGCTGTAACTAGTGTAGGTGTGTGCTGTAACTAGTGTAGGTGTGTGCTGTAAATAGTGTAGGTGTGTGATGTAACTAATGTTGGTGTGTGCTGTAACTAGTGTAGGTGTGTGGTGTCACTAGTGTAGGTGTGTGCTGTAACTAGTGTAGGTGTGTGCTGTAACTAGTGTAGGTGTGTGCTGTAACTAGTGTAGGTGTGTGCTGTAACTAGTGTAGGTGTGTGCTGTAACTAGTGTAGGTGTGTGCTGTAAATAGTGTAGGTGTGTGATGTAACTAATGTAGGTGTGTGGTGTCACTAGTGTAGGTGTATGCTGTAACTAGTGTAGGTGTGTGGTGTCACTAGTGTAGGTGTGTGCTGTAACTAGTGTAGGTGTGTGCTGTAACTAGTGTAGGTGTGTGGTGTCACTAGTGTAGGTGTGTGCTGTAACTAGTGTAGGTGTGTGCTGTAACTAGTGTAGGTGTGTGGTGTAACTAATGTAGGTGTGTGCTGTAACTAGTGTAGGTGTGTGGTGTCACTAGTGTAGGTGTATGCTGTAAATAGTGTAGGTGTGTGTTGTAACTAGTGCAGGTGTATGCTGTAACTAGTGCAGGTGTGTGCTGTAACTAGTGCAGGTGTGTGCTGTAACTTGTGCAGGTGTGTGCTGTAACTAGTGCAGGTGTGTGCTGTAACTAGTGCAGGTGTGTGCTGTAACTAGTGCAGGTGTGTGCTGTAACTGGTGTAGGTGTGTGCTGTAACTAGTGCAGGTGTGTGCTGTAAATAGTGTAGGTGTGTGCTGTAACTAGTGAAGGTGTGTGCTGTAAATAGTGTAGGTGTGTGCTGTAAATAGTGAAGGTGTGTGTGGTGTAACTAGTGTAGGTGTGTGCTGTAACTAGTGAAGGTGTGTGCTGTAACTAGTGTAGGTGTGTGCTGTAAATAGTGTAGGTGTGTGATGTAACTAATGTTGGTGTGTGCTGTAACTAGTGTAGGTGTGTGGTGTCACTAGTGTAGGTGTGTGCTGTAACTAGTGTAGGTGTGTGCTGTAACTAGTGTAGGTGTGTGGTGTCACTAGTGTAGGTGTGTGCTGTAACTGGTGTAGGTGTGTGCTGTAACTAGTGTAGGTGTGTGCTGTAACTAGTGTAGGTGTGTGGTGTCACTAGTGTAGGTGTGTGCTGTAACTAGTGTAGGTGTGTGCTGTAACTAGTGTAGGTGTGTGCTGCAACTAGTGTAGGTGTGTGCTGTAACTAGTGTAGGTGTGTGCTGTAACTGGTGTAGGTGTGTGCTGTAACTAGTGTAGGTGTGTGCTGCAACTGGTGTAGGTGTGTGCTGTAACTAGTGTAGGTGTGTGCTGCAACTAGTGTAGGTGTGTGCTGTAACTAGTGTAGGTGTGTGCTGTAACTGGTGTAGGTGTGTGCTGTAACTAGTGTAGGTGTGTGCTGTAACTAGTGTAGGTGTGTGCTGTAGTGTAGGTGTGTGCTGTAAATAGTGTAGGTGTGTGCTGTAACTAGTGTAGGTGTGTGCTGTAACTAGTGTAGGTGTGTGCTGTAACTAGTGTAGGTGTGTGCTGTAGTGTAGGTGTGTGCTGTAACTAGTGTAGGTGTGTGCTGTAAATAGTGTAGGTGTGTGCTGTAACTAGTTTAGGCTAGTACTGTAACTAGTGTTAGTGTGTGCTGTAACTAGTGAAGGTGTGTGGTGTAACTAGTGTAGGTGTGTGCTGTAACTGGTGTAGGTGTGTGCTGTAACTAGTGAAGGTGTAACTAATGTTAGTGTGATGTAACTAGTGTAGGTGTGTGCTGTAACTAGTGTAGGTGTGTGCTGTAACTAGTGAAGGTGTGTGCTGTAACTAGTGTAGGGGTGTGCTGTAACTAATGTAGGTGTGTGCTGTAACTAGTGTAGGGGTGTGCTGTAACTAGTGCAGGTGTGTGCTGTAACTAGTGAAGGTGTGTGCTGTAACTAGTGTTAGTGTGTGCTGTAACTAGTGAAGGTGTGTGCTGTAACTAGTGTTAGTGTGTGCTGTAACTAGTGAAGGTGTGTGGTGTAACTAGTGAAGGTGTGTGCTGTAACTAGTGTTAGTGTGTGCTGTAACTAGTGAAGGTGTGTGCTGTAACTAGTGTTAGTGTGTGCTGTAACTAGTGAAGGTGTGTGGTGTAACTAGTGTAGGTGTGTGCTGTAACTGGTGTAGGTGTGTGCTGTAACTAGTGAAGGTGTAACTAATGTTAGTGTGATGTAACTAGTGTAGGTGTGTGCTGTAACTAGTGTAGGTGTGTGCTGTAACTAGTGAAGGTGTGTGCTGTAACTAGTGTAGGGGTGTGCTGTAACTAGTGTAGGTGTGTGCTGTAACTAGTGTAGGTGTGTGCTGTAACTAGTGCAGGTGTGTGCTGTAACTAGTGAAGGTGTGTGCTGTAACTAGTGTTAGTGTGTGCTGTAACTAGTGAAGGTGTGTGCTGTAACTAGTGTTAGTGTGTGCTGTAACTAGTGAAGGTGTGTGGTGTAACTAGTGAAGGTGTATGCTGTAACTAGTGTTAGTGTGTGCTGTAACTAGTGAAGGTGTGTGCTGTAACTAGTGTTAGTGTGTGCTGTAACTAGTGAAGGTGTGTGCTGTAACTAGTGAAGGTGTGTGCTGTAACTAGTGTTAGTGTGTGCTGTAACTAGTGAAGGTGTGTGGTGTAACTAGTGTAGGTGTGTGCTGTAACTAGTGTAGGGGTGTGCTGTAACTAGTGTAGGTGTGTGCTGTAACTAGTGTAGGTGTGTGCTGTAACTAGTGTAGGGGTGTGCTGTAACTAGTGTAGGTGTGTGCTGTAACTAGTGTAGGTGTGTGCTGTAACTAGTGTAGGTGTGTGCTGTAACTAGTGTAGGGGTGTGCTGTAACTAGTGTAGGGGTGTGCTGTAACTAGTGTAGGTGTGTGCTGTAACTAGTGCAGGTGTATGCTGTAACTAGTGCAGGTGTGTGCTGTAACTAGTGCAGGTGTGTGTTGTAACTAGTGTAGGTGTGTGCTGTAACTAGTGTAGGTGTGTGCTGTAACTGGTGTAGGTGTGTGCTGTAACTAGTGAAGGTGTGTGCTGTAACTAGTGTAGGGGTGTGCTGTAACTAGTGAAGGTGTGTGCTGTAACTAGTGAAGGTGTGTGCTGTAACTAGTGTAGGGGTGTGCTGTAACTAGTGTAGGTGTGTGCTGTAACTAGTGCAGGTGTATGCTGTAACTAGTGAAGGTGTGTGCTGTAACTAGTGTAGGTGTGTGCTGTAACTAGTGTAGGTGTGTGCTGTAACTAGTGTAGGTGTGTGCTGTAACTGGTGTAGGTGTGTGCTGTAACTAGTGAAGGTGTGTGCTGTAACTAGTGTAGGGGTGTGCTGTAACTAGTGAAGGTGTGTGCTGTAACTAGTGCAGGTGTGTGCTGTAACTAGTGTAGGTGTGTGCTGTAACTAGTGTAGGTGTGTGCTGTAACTAGTGAAGGTGTGTGCTGTAACTAGTGAAGGTGTGTGCTGTAACTAGTGAAGGTGTGCTGTAACTAGTGAAGGTGTAACTAATGTAGGTGTGTGCTGTAACTGGTGTAGGTGTGTGCTGTAACTAGTGAAGGTGTAACTAATGTTAGTGTGATGTATCTAGTGTAGGTGTGTGCTGTAACTAGTGTACGGGTGTGCTGTAACTAGTGTAGGTGTGTGCTGTAACTAGTGTAGGTGTGTGCTGTAACTAGTGTAGGTGTGTGCTGTAACTAGTGTAGGGGTGTGCTGTAACTGGTGTAGGTGTGTGCTGTAACTAGTGTAGGTGTGTGCTGTAACTAGTGTAGGGGTGTGCTGTAACTAGTGTAGGTGTGTGCTGTAACTAGTGCAGGTGTATGCTGTAACTAGTGCAGGTGTGTGCTGTAACTAGTGCAGGTGTGTGCTGTAACTAGTGCAGGTGTGTGCTGTAACTAGTGCAGGTGTGTGCTGTAACTAGTGCAGGTGTGTGCTGTAACTGGTGTAGGTGTGTGCTGTAACTAGTGCAGGTGTGTGCTGTAAATAGTGTAGGTGTGTGCTGTAACTAGTGAAGGTGTGTGCTGTAAATAGTGTAGGTGTGTGCTGTAAATAGTGAAGGT